TAACCCTACTGTGAGTGGAGAAGCAACTGTACAGATATTTTTGTCAAAATGGTGGGCACTATTTTCTGCTCACACTCTGCTTTAGTAAAGCAATGTGAACCACTGAGAATAACACACAGGGTACCTAGTAAGTGCCACTAGAAACCAAGGAAACAAGTATCAATGGGCAAAATCAGTAGTTACTTTCTTATATAATTGGCCTAACATTGATTTTCTTAAGCAATAAGCAATTTCATGACACCAAAAGAACTCTCTTTTAGGGAGTCTACAGCCTAGTTGGAAAGAAGGTAGACATGCAAACGAATGGCATCTGTATGACAGGCCATATATTACAGTGGTAAAGAGTCCAGGTTTGGGAGAGATACAAACCTGAGTTTGAATCCAAGCTAGGACACTTACTAGGTGCACAGTCTCTTAGAGCTTCTGTTTCATCAACTGAAAAATGGGACCACTGATACCTCAACTCATAGTGATATGAGGATTAAATAAGCCATTACATATAAAATACTAGTCACCAGCAAAGAATGGAATCTCAGTATGTGAGCTGTTAGTTAGGATAAAGGCAACATGCAAGGTAGAAAAGGAGCACCAAAGAAGGAGGTCTAAGAAAGCTTTTGACTCAAGAAACCTCTGTTGGTAATATTCTGTGAGAATCCAGTTATGGGTCTCATGATGTGAAAAACTGATCTGAAGAGCTCCACTTCTGCTAATGATTACCTAAGTGGGATCAAGCCTTCCACTGAGGAAACTGAGGGGACCCCCCCACCGCCATAGAAAAAAAAACGGTTCAAAGATGCTGGAGAATTAACAGGGCAGTGAAGAATTATGGTATCCAGATCTAGAAGAGGAAAATCCAGAGACGGGCACCTAGCATTTGGGACCATCTTTCCCTTGGGGCATCTGCAGATTCTGGAAGAGGGAACTGAAAGTTTGAGGAACTAAGCGTTGACTTACTAGTATTTTGTTACTGATTTTGGGTCTATATCAAGAGGGATGTCTGTAGTTTTATTTTCTTGTATGTGTTTGTCTGGTTTTGTTTATAAAATGAGTTGGGAATTATTCCTCCCCTTTCTGTTTTCTGGAAAAGGTGGTGCAGAATTTGGTATTATTTCTTCTTCAAATGACTATAAGAATACAGTTAAATTATCTGGGCTGGGAGATTTCTTTTTCAGGAGGTTTTGAACTGTGAATTCAATTTTCTTTAATAGACATCTGACTATTCAGGTTGTGTATTTCTTCTTAGGTGAGTTTTATTAATTTGTGACTTTAAAGGAAATTCGTCCATTTCATTGAGGTTACCACATTTGTGTGTGTATATGTTATTTGTAGCATTCCTTTATTACTTCGTGAATATCTAATGCCCCTTGAGTCATCCTTTTTAATCCACTGATTATTCAGAAGTGTGTGGTTTAATACTCAAGTGTGTGGAGATTTTCCAGTTGTCTTTCTTGTATTGATATCTACATTAATTCCATTTTGTTTACAGAACATACTTTGTAGTATTTTAAGTCTTTTCTTTCTAAACAGGCTTACTGAAATATATTTCACATATCATATGATTGTTCCTTTAAAAATGTACAATTCAAGGGTTTTTAACATTCACAGAGTTGTATAACCATCACTACAATTAATATAGGGACACTTTCATTACCTAAAAAAGACTCCATACCTGATAGTACTCATTCCTCATTTTACCACAGGCTCTCCACAGATTACGCAACCATTAACCTATTTCCTGTTTCTATACATTTGTCTATTCTGGACAACTCATATAAACGAATTCATACAATATGTTGTGTTTTGTGACTGGCATCTTTTACTTCACATAAGGTTTTTAAGATCCAATCATATGTAGTATGTATCAGTACTTCATTTTTCTTTACTGCTGTATAATACTTGATTATACGAATACATCACATTTGTTTATCTTGGGCTGATCCCAACTTTTGGCTATTATGAATGATGCTGCTATGAAAATGGGTGTACAAGTTTTTGTGTGGACCTGTTTTCATGTATCTTGGGTATATACCTAGGAGTGGAATTGCTAGGCCATATGGTAACTCTATTATTTAACTATTTGAGGAAATGTCAGTCTTTTCCGTAATGGCTGCACCATCTTACATTCCTACTGTAATGTATGAGTGTTCCGATTTCTCCACATGGTTGGCAGCACCTGTTATTATCTGACTCTTTGGTAACCATCTTAGTGTGAAGTCGTATCTCATTGTGGGTTGTCTTTTTACTTTCTTGATCATATCTTTTGAAGCATAAAAGCATTAATTTTTTCTTTTTTGGAGATGGGGTCTTACTCTGTCACCCAGGTTGGAGTACAGTGACGTCATCTCAAGTCACTGCAACCTCTGCCTCCCAGGCTCAAGTGATCCTCCCGCCTCAGCCTCCCAAGTAGCTGGGACGACAGGCGCGTGCCACTGTGCCTGGCTAAATTTTGTTATTTCTGGTAGAGATGGAGTTTCACCATGTTGCCCAGGCTGGTATTGAATTCCTGAGCTCAGGCAATCCACCTGCCTTGGCCTTCCAAAGTGCTGGGAATACTGGCGTGAGTCACTGCACCCAACCAAAAGTTTAAAATTTTGAAGTCCAATTCATCAATTTTTTCTTTTGATACTTATGCTTGTGGTGTCACATCTAAGAAACTGCCTAACCAAGGTTGTGAAAATTTACTCCTCTATTTTCTTCTAAATTTTTTATAGTATTAGCTCTTACATTTTGTGCTGTGATCCATTTGATTTAATTTTTGTAGCATGTGAACTAGGGGTCCAAATTAAGGTGGGTGCAAAAGTAACTGCAGTTTTTGCCATTGAAAGAAATTGCAAAAACCGCAATTACTTTTGCACCAATCTAATATTATTTTGTATGATACCCAGTTGTTCTGGCATTAAAAACTGTTTTTTCCCCCATTGGATTGTCTTGGCATCCAGCATCCTTGTTGAAAATCAATTAGCCACAAATGTGAGGGTATATTTCTGAACTCTCAATTCAATTTTGTTTTTATGTCTATCATGATACAAGTACCACACAGTCTTGTTTACTTTCACTTTGTAGTGAAATATTTTGGAATAGGGAAGTGTGAATCCTACATTTTTTCTGTACTTTTTCAGCATTGTTTTGGTTACTGTGGTCCCTTTGTATTTCCATAGGAATTCAATATTTGGCTTTTCCATTTCTGGAAAAAAAATAAAAACCATCGAAAAACAAAAAAAGTTTTTGACTCAAAGTAACTAGTATTTTGTTAGGAATCTGTAGATCAGTTTGGGAACTACTGCCATCTTAACAATGATCCATGAACATGGGATGTCTTCATTTCATTTTTTTTTTTTTTTCTGTGACGGAGTTTTGCTCTTGTCACCCAGGCTGGAGTGCAATGGTGCAATCTCAGCTCACTGCAACCTCCACCTCCTGGGTTCAAGCAATTCTGCCTCAGCCTCCCATGTAGCTGGGATTATAGGCATGTATCACCACGTCTGGCTAATTTTTTATATTTTTAGTAGAGATGGGGTTTCATCATGTTGGCCAGGTTGGTCTTGAACTCCTGATCTCAGATGATCTGCCCACTTTGGCTTCCCAAAGTGTGAAATTACAGGTGTGAGCCACTGCAACCCAGCCAAAAATCCAAAACTTTTCTAGTACCAACAAGATACTCAAAACTCATACTCAAAGGAAATACTCACTGGAGCATTTTGGATTTCAGATTTGGGATGCTCACTGGTAAGTATAACAAACAGTTATACTGAAAAAAATCCAAACTCTGAAACACTTCTGATCTCAAGAATTTCAGGTAAGAGATACTCTATTCTGCCTGTATATGAAAAAGAGTAGCATATATACGAACTTTTAATTTTTTTTTTCTGGGTATTAAAATTACTGGTATTAAAATTTACTTTTCTTCTGCTCATTCATGTTTTCTAAATAAATGATTACTTTTGAAATGGAAAACAAAGTTATTTAAAAATAACCTAACAAGCTCTCCAAGAAATGGCTTATTTTTATTTCTACATCTTCTAAACAATATATTCAACATGTATCTTTTTAGAGTTGGTGTCCTGCTCATTATACCCAGGATGGAGTATAATGGCATGATCCTAGCTCACTACAGCCTCAAACTCCTGCCCTCAAGTGATCCTCCTGCTTCAGTCTCTCGAGTAGCTAGGACTACAGGTGTGCATCACCATTCCCAGCTATTTAAAAAATTTATCTGTAGAGATGAAGTCTCGCTATGTTGCACAGGCTGGTTTCAAACTCCAGGCTTCAAGCGATCCCTCCTGCCTTGACCTACCAAAGTTCTGGCATTACAGATGTGAGCCACCACATCTGGACATGTTCAACATTTAGATAACTTTTCGACCCAATGTTAAGATAGTTGAGTTAGTTATACCTGCAGGTACCATCAAGGACTATAACCCCTCCCTCCCTTGGTACTGAGCACAAACTACAGTGCGTTGTGTTACACAAAGTAGGGATAAAAAGTGAGGCATCTAGATTTTTTGCCTGAATAAGAGATGGAAAAAAAGAAATGTGTAAATTAATAACTCCAATAAAGGTATGTCTGAGAGTGCAAAGGAAAAGCATAGATGATTTCAACTGGCAGAATGAGGATGTGTTCTTATACACTAGTCATCCACAATTTGCTTTCCCTCTCTAATAGTAATGGTTTACCACTTACCCAGTAAGATGATAAAACAAGTAATTCACAGCATCTATTCCCATGTTCCACATGAATGCTTACTAGCCCTACTTGTCATCAGCTTACATGTCACTTAATCTTTGTTTCTGTGGGTAACAGCACTTCTCTTGATATGCCATGAACATGGATTCAGTGCCAATCCCCTGAGACGGAGAGCTCCGAGATGGCAGAAACTAAGTCTAATTCATCTTAGTATTGCCAGGTTGAGTTGGCTTCACTAGGTATAATATGCACCATGACTTTTTCAAGCTTTGTGCATGTGTTTAACATCTTGGCAAAGGAAACTTAGAAATCATACCTGGTAGGATTCCTTTTGTCTTCTTCAGAGATCAAAAACCAAACAAAATCTGCATAGCTCATTCTTCCCTCTTTCTGTATTGTTTTTCCCCTGAAGAAAACACATGGTTATAAAATTTCCTGAGCAATTACTCAGGATGATAGGCTAAGAAATAAAGTAATATGCCAGTTAAATTTTTAAAAATTATAATGCTAAATGCCTCATAAAGGGCAACCCTTCCACAGCCTATCTTATTTTTAAAGGCCTAGAGGGTGAAACCAGAAGGCATTTGCAAATATGAAGAAAAGAAATCTGGCTTTTCATATGAATGCAAATAATCACTGGGATAAAATACTGTTACCTGTATTTAGATACAGGATTAATACTCATGTTAGGCATCAATGGAAGACACCTCAAAATAGTAAGAGCCGTCTGTGACAAACACATAGCTGGCATTACACTGAATGGACACAAGCTAGAAGCAATCCCCTTAAGAACAAGAACAAGACAAAGACGCCCACTCTCACCACTCTATTCAACATAGTACTGGAAGTCTTAGCCAGAGCAATCGGGCAAGAGAAAGAAATAAAACGCATCCAAACAGGAAAAGTCAAATTATCTCTCTTCGCTGACAACATGATTCTATACATAGAAAAGCCTGAAAACTATGCCAAACGGCTTTCAGAACTAATAATTTCATTAAAGTTACGGGATACAAAATCAATGTAGAAAAATCAGTAACATTTCTATACACCAGTAGCATTCAAGCTGAAAGTCAAATCAAGAATGCAATCCCATTTACAATAGCCACACACACACACAAAATAAAATACCTAGAAATACAGCTAACCAAGGAGGTGAAAAATCTCTACAGGGAGGACTACAGCACTCTGCTGAAAGAAATCAGAGACAACACAAACCAATGGAAAAACATTCCATGGTTATGGATAGGAGAATCAATATCGTTAAAATAGCCATACTCCCCAAAGCAATCTACAGATTCAATGTTATTCTTATTAAACTAACGTCCTTTCTCACAGACAAGTTTTAAGAAAAAAAAAAATTCTAAAATTCATAGGGAACCAAAAACAAAGCCCAAATAGCTAAAAGCAATCTTAAGCAACAACAGCCAGGCCAGAGGTATCATAGTACCTGACTTCAAACTACACTATAAGGCTACTGTAACCAAAACAGCATGGTACTGGTACAAAAACCGGCACATAGACCAATGGAGCAGAATAGAGAGCCTAGAAATAAAGCTGCACACCTACAACCATCTGATATTTGACAAAGTCGATAAAAACAAAGAATGGGAAAAAGACTCCCTATTCAATAAACAGTGCTGGGATAACTGATTAGCTATATGCAGAAGAATGAAATCGGACCCTTACTTTTCACTATATAAAAAAATTAATTCACAATGGATTAAAGACTTAAATGTCAGACCTCAAACTATAACAATCCTAGAAAAAAACCTAGGAAATACCCTTCTTGACATCAGCCTAGGCAAATAATTTATGGCTAAGTCCTCAAAAGCAACTGCAACACAACCAAAAATTGATGACTGGGACCTAATGAAACTAAAGAGCTTTTGCACAGCAAAAGAAACTATAGACAGATTTAACAGACTACCTACAGAATAGGAGAAAATATTCTCAAACTATATATTCAACAGAGGTCTAATATGCAGACTCTATAGTGAATTTAAATCAACCAGCATAAAACAACCCCATTTAAAAATGGGCAAAGGACATGAATGGACACTTCTCAAAAGAAGACATATAGGCAGCCAACAAACATGAAACAATCTCAACACCATTCATTATTAGAGAAATGCAAATCAAAACCACAATGAGATACCATCTTACAACAGTCAGAATGTCAACTACTAAAAAGTCAAAATATAACACATGCTGGTGAGGCTGTGGAGAAAAGGGAATGATTATACACTGTTAGTGGGAATGTAAATGGGTTCAGTTGTGGTGGAGAGCAGTTGATTTCTACTACTGTTAGACCCAGCAATCCCATTACTGGGTATATACCCAAAGGAAAATAAGTCATTCTACCACAAAGATACATGTACTTGTATGTTTATCCAGCACTATTCACAATAGCAGAGACATGGAATCAACCTAGATGCCTACCAACAGTAGACTGGATGAAGAAAATGTGGTACATATATACCATTGAATACTATGCAGCCATAAAAATTATGAAATCATGTCCCTGCAGCAACATGGAGGCAGCTGAAGGCCATCATCCTAAGCTAATTAACACAGGAACAGAAAACCAAACACCATTATGTTCTCATTTATAAGTGGAAGCTAACACTGAACACACATGGACATAAAGATGGGCACAATGGACACTGGGGACTGCTGAAGTGGGTAGGGAGTGAGCAGAGTGAGGGCTGAGGGACTGCCTGTTGGGTGTTGTGCTCACTGCCTGTGTGACAGGATCCTCCAAACACCAAACTTCATCATCACACTGAGTTCCCATGTGACAGACCTGCACGTGTACCCCTTGAATCAGAAAAGTTGAAATAATTTTTTTAAAAAAGAATTACTGTCTTGTATTAAGCCATAACTATGTTTTATAGGATATTATTTGCTCCAACAGCACTGCCAAATTATTCACGAAGCTTTGCTAAAATGAGATCGTTATGGTATTACTTGTTCATTTTTAAATGCAGCATTAAACGTTTTCTTACCTTGTTACTGCCCCAGAGAATATCCTTTCAATAATCCTGTTTGATGAAGCTAAATGTAGATAAAAAAATTACAAAGCTAGTTAGAAATATGCTCCGTAAAGGCAATACTTTTTACAAATTTACTTTTCATTAGCTACAAGCTAAACCATAACCATCGTCCATAATGAGAATGTGAGTACATTTTTATTTACGCATAATTTTAAAATAATTTTATTTTATTTTATTTTATTTATTATTTTTTTTTGAGACGGAGTCTCGCTCTGTCGCCCAGGCTGGAGTGCAGTGGCCGGATCTCAGCTCACTGCAAGCTCCGCCTCCTGGGTTTACGCCATTCTCCTGCCTCAGCCTCCCAAGTAGCTGGGACTACAGGCGCCCGCCACCTCGCCCGGCTAGTTTTTTGTATTTTTTAGTAGAGACGGGGTTTCACCGTGTCAGCCAGGATGGTCTCGATCTCCTGAGCTCGTGATCCGCCCGTCTCGGCCTCCCAAAGTGCTGGGATTACAGGCTTGAGCCACCGCGCCCGACAATTTTAAAATAATTTTAAAAAATAATAGGCAAATGAATATGGCTGACATCTGGGAAGTATTAATATAGCTGAATGCTAAGTTAGGTCTGAACATCCTGACAACTAAGACAAAAATATATAGGATTTGTATTGATTTTATCCAATGAGACCAATTTTATCCTTAAATTAAATTCAAGGGGGAACTGATTGTGTAAGCTCCTAAAACAACATAAAATAGAAGTTAAAAACAATGGAGAATGCTTTCAAGTAGTTTTTTAAAAGCTCCTCAAACACACTACAAACATACTTTTCTTATATTCCCATTTTATAAAAGTCCAGGGTTTAACATGATATAACATAAGATTTTTAGAAATTCCATCAGGAAGTTTTATTCACAGAGACAATCATAGCTTAAGTTAGCATGTTGGTGAGTAAGAGAGAGAGAGAGAGAGAGAGAAAGAGAGAGAGAGAGAGAGAGAGAGACGACTAGAGACCTGTTCTTTCTTTTATTTATTTATTTAATTTATTTTTGAGATGGAATTTCGCTCTTGCTGCCCAGGCTGGAGTGCAATGGCGCGATCTCGGCTCACCGCAACCTCTATCTCCCAGATTCAAGTGATTCTCCTGCCTCAGCTTCCCAAATAGCTAGGATTACAGGCATGCGCCACCACACCTGGCTAATTTTTTTGTATTTTTAGTAGAGACGGGGTTTCACCATGTTGGTTAGGCTGGTCTTGAACTCCTGACCTCGTGATCCACCTGCCTCGGCTTCCCAAAGTGCTGGGGTTACAGGCGTGAGCCACCGTGCCTGGCCAACTTTATTTCTTAAATACGCAAAGCTCTATGAAACCTGACACCATATATAACAAGCCTTTTTTTTTTTTCCTTTGAGACAGGGTCTCCCTGTTGCTCAGGCTGGAGTATAGCAGCAGCATCATGGCTCACTGCATCCTCAACTTCCCCAGGTTCAGGAGCTCCTCCCATCTCAGCCTCCTGAGTAGCTGGGACTACAGGCATATGCCACCACACCCAACTAATTTTTGTATTTATTTTGTCATTTAAAAGACATTTTTTAATTTTTAATTTTTGTATTTTTTGTAGAGTCAGGGTTTCACCACGTTGCCCAGGCTGGTCTTGAACTCTTGGGTTCAAGTGATCCACTCACCTTGGCCTCCCAAAGTGCTGGTATTGTAGGCATGAGCCACTGACCCCGGCCTGATGAGCCTTTTCTTAAGAGGCACATCATTAGTAACAGCCATACCAAAAAACAAAAACAAAATTCAATGCATTTATTTAAGATTTATACTCTGCTATATCTAATAAGCTAAAGTATTGTTTAAAAACCAACAGTGCCTGAGAAGGCATTAAAGGACAGAACAGGGACAATCTTATGAGAGAAGAATGAATCAATGTATCTTGGTGCTTAGTTAATACTAAACCAGGCCGGGCGTGGTGAATCATGCCTGTAATCTTAGCACTTTGGGAGGCCAAGGCAGATGGACTGCTTGACCTCAGGAGTTGGAGACCAGCCTGGGCAACAAGGCGAAACCCCATCTATATTAGTCTGTTCTCACACTGCTAATAAAGATATACCCAAGACTGGGCAATTTAAAAAGGAAAGAGGTTTAATGGACTCACAGTTCCACATGGCTGGGGAGGCCTCACAATCATGGTGGAAGGCAAAGGAGAAGCAAAGGCACATCTTACATGGCAGCAGGGGTGTGTGTGGGGGAACTCTCCTTTATAAAACCATGAGCTCTCATGAGACTTACTATCACAAGAGCGGCACAGGAAAGACCCACCCCCATGACCCAGTTAACTCCTACTGGGTCCCTCCCATGACACATGGGGATTATGGGAGCTACAATTCAATATGAGATTTGGGTGGGGACACAGCCAAACCATATTGTTCCAACCATGGCTCCTCCCATATCTCAGGTCCCCTACATTTCAAAACCAATCATGCCTTCGCAACAGTCCCTCCAGTCTTAACTCATTTCAGCATTAACTCAAAAGTTGACAGTCCAAAGTCTCATCTGAGACAACCCAAGTTCCTTCCACCTATGAGCCTGTAAAATCAAAAGCAAGTTAGTTACTTCCTAGATACAATGGGGATACAGGCATTGGGTAAATACACCTGTTCCAAATGAGAAATCAGCCAAAACAAAGGGGCCCCATGCAAGTCCAAAATCCAATACTGCAGTCATTAAACCTTAAAGTTCCAAAATGATCTCCTTTGACTCGGTCTCACATTCAGGGCACACTGATGCAAGAGGCAGGTTCCCATGGCCTTGGGCAGCTCCACCCCTGTGGCTTTGCAGGGGATAGCTCCTTGCTGCTTTCATGGGCTGGCATTGAGTATCTGTGGCTTTTCCAGGTGCATGGTGCAAACTACTGGTAGATCTACCATTCTGGGGCCTGGAGCATGGTGGCCCTCTTCTCACAGCTTCACTAAGCATTGTCCCAGCAGGGACACTGTACGGGGGCTTCAACTCCACATTTCCCTGCCACATTGCCCTAGCAGAGGTTCTCCATTAGGGCTCTGCCTCTGCAGCAAATTTCTGCCTGGACATCCAGGTGTTTTTATACATCCTCTGAAATCTAGGTGGAGGTTCCCAAATCTCAATACTTGACTTCTGTGTACCCACAGAACCAACACCACATGGAAGCCACCAAGGCTTGGGGTTTGCATTCTCTGAAGTAATGGCCTGAGCTGTATTTTGGCCCCTTTAAGCCATGGCTGGAGCTGAAACAGCTGGGATGCAGGGCACCATGTTCAGAGGTTGCATAGAGCAGGGGGGCCCTGGGCCTGGCCCAGAAAACCATTTTTCCCTCCTACGCCTCCAGGCCTGTGATGGGAGGGGCTGTCATGATGGTCTCTGACATGCCCTGGAGACATTTTACCCATTGTTTTGGTGAGTAGCATTTGACTCCCCATCACTTACGCAAATTTCTGTAGTGGGCTTGAATTCTCCCCAGAAAAATGGGTTTTTATTTTCCACTGCATTATCAGGCTGCAAATTTTCTAAACTTTTATGCACTGTCACCTCTTGAATGCTCTGCTGCTTAGGAATTTTTTCCACCACATACCCCAAATTATCTCTATTAAGTTAAAAGTTCCACAGATCTCTAGGGCAGGGGCAAAATGCCAAGTCTCTCTGCACAGCAAGAGTGACCTTTACTCCAGTTCCCAACAAGTTCCTCATCTCCACCTTAGACCACTTCAGCCTGGATTTTATTGTCCATATCACTATCAGCATTTTGGTAAAAGCCATTCAAGTCTCTAGGAAGTTCCAAACTTTCCCACATGTTCCTGTCTTTATCTGAGCCCTCCAAACTGTTCCAACCTCTGCCTATTACCTAGTTCCAAAGTCCCTTCTATATTTTTGGGTATCTTTATAGCAGTGCCCCACACTACTGGTATCAATTTACTGTATTAGTCTGCTCTCATGCTGCTAGTAAAGACATACATGAGACTGGGTAATTTATAATGGAAAGAGATTTAATGGACTCACAGTTCCACATGGCTGAGAAGGCCTCACAATCATGGCAGAAGGCAAAGGAGAAGCAACAGCACATCTTACATGGTGGCAGACAAGACAGCATGTGCAGGGGAACTCCCCTTTATAAAACCATCAGATCTCATGAGACTTATTCACTATCATGAGAACTACATGGGAAAGACCCGCCCCCATGATTCAATTACCTGCCACCAGGTCCCTGCCACAACAGGTGGGGATTATGGGAGCTACAGTTCAAGATGAGATTTGGATGGGAACATAGCCAAACCATATCACTGTCTTTACAAAAAAAATTAGCCAGGTGTGGTGGCATATGCCTGTAGTCCCAGCTACTTAGGGGCTGAGATGGTAGGATGCCTTGAGCCCAGGAGGTCGAGGCTACAGTGAGCCATGTTCATGCTACTGCACTCCAGCCTAGGTGACAAAGTGAGATACTGTCTCGAAAAAAAAACAAGGATATTAAATTAGTAGGCAATAGGTTCTGGATTTACTGCTGGCAAAAATGAAGCAAAAAGGGTATTATCATGTGATATGTAACTTTCTGTTTTCTGACAAAAGAAAGCACACAAAATTCATCTGCAGAGACATATCTTTCTGGAACTAAATTTCCAAAAGTAAATTTTTGTGAATCCTTGAAAAGAAAACTTGGCAAGTTAGAAACACGATTTTCATCCTTGGGTTTTTATAGAAATATTGTTAAGTGGGAAGGTTTACAAAGGTGTATACATATTCTCTTTCAAACAGATTTACACAGGTGTGGATCTTATTCAATTCATCATCAGAAAATACACACCGGTATAAAGACTCATTGCTTTATCAAAACTAAGACTGTGATTGGTTACTTACTTCCAAACTCCTTCTCCTACATCAAGGCTTTTATTAATTTAATAAAAAATTATATTATCTTCACTCATCCCCTCTTAAAAATTATTGGCCTGTAGAGAGGGCTTGATTAGGTTTAGAATTTAGCAAATGGGAATTTCTCATAATGAGTAGTGATGATTTATATAACTCTTCAAAATGGTTAAGTCTTAGCATCTACAGAATCACTTACCCTGGTCATTGTATCGAGACAGATCGGCCTGGCTGATGTAGAGGTCGTGATCAGTATCTAGTTCCCAGAATTTACAATAAATAACATAGAAATGTTCATAGGAGAAGTAATCTGTAATTTGGTTTATATCTTCCTCTTCTTCCAAAAGTGCTAGGGTCTGAAATGATATGAGAAGAAGAATTTAAACATTATGAAAAAGCAGCTTTGGCCACTGTGCAGTTTAGTGAATTTCTGTTTTAAACTGAACTTAAAATTTTGTTTCTGGTACCAAATAAGAAACCCTTTAATAGGCAACCTCATCCTACCTTTAATCAACCAATCAATCTATAAGCATTTACTGAGCTCTATAATATGCTCAGTGAAGGGTTGGATACTGTGGAGGATGTAAAAGCAGGGAAAGGGAAGTACCATTACTTGGGGAGTATAATTGGTCAGAGGTCAGAGACTGGCACAAAGAGAACAATTAGATCATAGTCTTCATTACTTTGCCAGAAACAAATACTGTTTTTAATTTTCAAAGTTATGTGAGCAATATTAAGAGGGGTAGGCATCTACATATAGCGTTTGGTTTTGTAATAAAAATTAAGTTTATATCACAAAGGTGACTCATACAATAGTGATGATACATGGTGGCCTGGCATAGGCACGGCAGACAGAGATGCAGGGCCCTGAGCTGGCAGTAAACCTGGGTCTTCCCTGACTCACTGTACTCCCCTATGGCAAACTCCAGAATCAATGATACTGAACCCACAATTCTACTGTCAGCCAAATTATTATATAAGTGGGCAGATAAATAAAGACATTTTCAGAAGTGAAAGATTCAGAAAGAAAAAAGAAAGCACAAAAAATGTAAGAAATATATAAAAAAAGAAATGCCAGAAATAAAATCAGATATAGGAATAGTCACTATAAAGATAAGTGAATTATATCTCCCCATCAAAAATTTTTTGATTGAGTATCAAAACCATGCCCCCAAAATAGATCTACCTATATGCATCTATAAGGGATACATCTAAAAAAAATATGGAAGGTTAAAAAAAAGATGGACAAATATACACAGTTAAATGTTAAAATAAACATGTATCAATATTAATATGGACTGCAAAGTGAAAAACATAAGGGGGCAGGGTGCACTCGCTCACGCCTGTAACCCAGCACTTTGAGAGGCCAAGGCAGGTGGATCATGAGGTCAGGAGTTCAAGACCAGCCCAAGATGGTGAAACCCCATCTCTACTATAAATACAAATATTAGCTGGGTGTGGTAGCAGGCGCCTGTAATCCCAGCTACTTGGGAGGCTGAGGCAGAGAATTGCTTGAAACCGGGAGGTGGAGGTTGCAGTGAGTCGAGATTGTACCACGGCACTCCAACCTGGGCGATAGAGCAAGATTCTGTCTCAAAAGAAACAAAAAAAAAAAAAAAAAAAAAAAAAAAAACCTTGAGGGACGAAAGAGGACTATTTCATAAGGCAAATATTAGTATTTCAACAAAAAATTATTTTTTAAAATAGAAACACTGGAAAACTAAAGTGCTCTGGCAGACTAAAAACAACATAAATTATTATTAAGTTTTGGTAAATCTGCTCAATAGAAAATTATGCAGCCAGTAAAAATTATAAAGTTTACACTGAAAACCATGATATAGTAAGTACAAAATACAGGATACAAGATTGTACCCACTAAGAACTACGTAAAATCCTAAAAATGCATATGTACATATGAATAAGACTAAATGAATACAGACAAAAATGATACTAGTTGTATAAGGGTCATAAAATATGGTTTTTCTTGTTTTCCAAACTTGCTTATAATATTTCGTTTTATAAAATGCTCTTTGATATGTAAGAAGCAGAACACTTTCAATAAAGCACATTTTAGAAGCAAAGAGCTATCATTTTTACCGACTGGATTGGCATAAAATGAAGATGACAGCAACTTTTGTTGGTGAGTATGTAAGTGAAAGTAGTGCAAACTTTTTGGAGGGTAACTTGGCAGAATCCACCAAACTAAAAATGCGCATAGTATTTGATCCAGAATTTTCCCTGCAGTGGTCTATTCTACAGACATTCTTACTCATACCACATACAAGAGGAGGGTACAAGGATGTTCACTGCATCATTGTAATAGAGGAAGTCTGAAAATGATTTGGACATCAATAGAGGAATATGTAATTAATTACAGTTTAGCCATGCAGTTGATTGTGCAGTAGTTGAAAGAATGAGATTGACTTAAATGAATGCAAATGAACAAAACCCTGAGACACTGTTAAGTGAAAAAACAAAGTTAACAGAATAGTATGAACCCATATATTTTTTGAAAACCCTCAAAATAGCAGCCATACAAAACAAAACTATATACTACATGTATATATTTATGAGAGAATAAAACCACATATGATATGGGTCCCCCACTGGGGAAAGGGAGTAAAATGGTAGAGTGAAGAATAGTGACTTCTGTTTATTACTCTAGATGTGCTCATATTATTTGAATGCTTTATGAGTATTGTTTAAGTACGAAGAGGAAGGCTAAGGAGAGGGGCAGGGAAGGAAAGGCAGGAGAAAATAAATCATGCTCTAAGAAACAGAACACTTCAGTTCTTTTTCCAGTTCAGCAACTTACTTGTATGTGATCTTATACAAATCATTTAAGTATATTTGGGCCTCAAATTTTATCACTGGTAAAAAAAAAAAAAGGAATAATTTTAAAAGCCAAAAAAGAAAAAATATGGATTAGGCCAGGCATGGTGGCTCACGCCTGTAATCCCAGGACTTTGGGAGGCCGAGGCAGATGGATCACAAGGTTGGGAGTTCGAGACCAGCCTGGCCAACACAGTGAAATCCCATTTCTACTAAAAATACAAAAATGAGCTGGGCATGGTGGCGCATGCCTGTAGTCCCAGCTACTCAGGAGACTGAGGCAGAAGAATCGCTTGAATCCAGGAGGTGGACACTGTGGTGAGCTAAGATCACACCACTGCACTTCAGCCTGGGCAACAGAGCAAGACCCCCGTCTCAAAAAAAAAAAATAAATAAATCTATGGACTATAAAAATGATTCAGAAACTACAACCTATAATGTGCTTCAGGAAAGTGGGGGATTATTATAATTACTCTTGAGGTATTATGGAATTACTGCCATTTTAACCCATCCCATATTACCTACTGAGAGCCCAGGCAGGCATCAGGTGTTCAATAAATATCAACACTGACTGTGATGATGATTGTTCATTTTAGAATAAAAAAATGTTTGTATATCCATCATGGACTGCTAGTTTTGCCAAGTCTTCATTACTCTGTCTCAGATGAAGATAGGAAAAAATAAAGAGTAAATAAGGTTGTATTATTAGCCTAAATTCCATTTAGTATGATTCTTAAAAATAAAACCTTTAATTTTCTTCCAAGTGTGAACAATTTCACTTTCTTTATGTTTACAGAAGCTTAAACAATCAGGCATGAAGATTACTTCGGTAAAAGGCTCCCACTAGTGGTCAATACTTTCTCTCTCACTTGGTAAAATGAATAAAATAATTGAATGAAATGTATTCTTTCTTAAAAGGAATTTTTAGTACTTTTCTCTAGCAGGTGCTGTATACAGAGTCATTGCTGAAAGGATCAAGTTTAAAATCTTCCAAGGGCTTTCCAAGACCCTTCCCAACCTAGCCCCAGCCCACCCCTCCAGGCTTATCTATTGTGAAGCTTTCTCTGTACGTTTTATCTATGTCTATGGAAATTATCATTTCAGGTTTAGTGTGTGTACATTTCACTTTTTTGCTCCAGAGTGAATGCCTTCAGGCAGAGATCCCTTATTATTCTCTTCATTTTTACCCCCTCACCCAAAACATTCCAGCGTCCCACGAGAGGTATTTGATAAATGCTTAATGAACGAAAGTAGTGACAGTGCTTTGAATACAGTAAGCATTCAAATATTTGTTAGAGTAAGAAAATTATTTAAATTGCTCATTACACATGAATTCTAATGAAAGGCATACTTGCAAAAAGTTGCTTTTTCTTATCTCTGTCGAAGTAATTTTTCCACTCCAAGATCTGTTGACTGTGTAGAATATTCTCTGAATAACCTGGTTCCAAAAGGAAAATAAAAGCAAATAAAAACATTGAAGATCTCCACTACTTTCTCAAAGGCCATCTATGAACACACTTGGGATCAATTTAACTTTTAGCTTTTTGACTACGTTAAGTGTAATTCCTAGTAAAAATCAGCACTGTATTTTTAAATATACATCTATATATTTTGAATTTGCCTCTGTACTTCCAAGAAGAATTAAAAAAATTATCTGCTCACAAGTCTTCACTTCCCAGCTGCCTTCACATCACTTCTTTTGTTTACCTCCAATTTATACAGTGATGCCTGATTCAAGTAATGCTTATTGGGCTCAATGTTTTGGGAAGGCATATGAGGTGAGAAGTATCTGCTGGGTTGGCCTAATGATTGATTAACTGGTCAGAAGGATGGCTATCAAGGTGGTATGATTCAAGAGGGTCTTATTCTGGTTATCATAGTCTTATTCACTTGAGTCTTGAAGACTCTTGGTCTTCTAGACTCTATGGAATTCAAATACATCTGGGATAATTTATGTCCTAACTTTAATTTGGGCATGAACATCTTTGTTATTAGCTGGTGTTTTAATGGGTTTAGCAGAATTGTATCTCTGGAGAAAACTTTGGATGGAATGGGAGAAGAGGAGATAAGAAACAAATATGTCTAAATTGAGGATGTGTGTGCTGTGGTGTAGGAGAGGATCAGAGAAGGAAGATGGAAGCTGCAATCCTGGACGTACGAGGTCACAGTGCATTCTTAACAATTTTACCTGCAGTAATTCCTACCCACTTCATTTCCCTTTCACCGATTATTTTTCTTCTCCCAAAGAAAGCAGTGGCAAAAAGAGCAATTTAAGCAGCTTTATTTTTTTTGGGGGGGGGGGTGCATTCTGCTTTTATTTTGATAGTCTAATAATACAGAAATCCTGTTATCTTTGGTGGTTTTTGTCATGGAAAAGATTAGATCTCTTTTTCAAGCTATTTTGGTGCAAGAAGAACAAATAAGGCAAGATATTTGGACATCTTTCTCAATAGCAGGCCTAATGAGGCACTAAACCACCTTTCTTTCTGGATTCTTCAGCAGAGGGAGTGATTCTTCAACTGAACATGGAAAAACTAGCATCAGGATGAAGGTCTAGATTTCAGCTGTTCAGCACTCACCACCCCACCCCTGCTATCAGTGCTAACCCCTCTGACCCTACAGAATTGAGCTCAAGTGTCACACTCCATGGGAGGCCCCAGAACAGGGACTGACTAGAGCCCTGCCTTCTGTGCTTCCACTGCCACCTGAGCCTCCTTTAGCTGTCCCCATGGTTACATTCTAAACACTGTTGCACCTGACCATCACTACCTCTAAACACTAAGAGACCAGGTCTTTCTTGACTTGTATTCCAGTAACTTATATGGTACTTTCTATATATCAGGTGGTCTATAACTGCTTGATAAAATAATGAGGTTTGAAAGCTGCATAACTAAGATTTTTGTATTATCTTTGTGTTAGAGAAATATGGGTTGGCTTTATAAGTATTTGAAGAACTCTAGTCAGAGTTTTGCATAGCAGATAGATGTCAACCCAAGAAAGGTCTCTAATTAGTATTTCACATATATCAGTATTTTTGTCTATTATTTATAGATAGACTCACATAGAATGCACAAAAACCACAAAACAGATAAGTGTTACTATATTCAAAATAATTGTGAAAGATGCTACTAATGTAGTAATGTTTAATCTCGGGAAAAAAATAAGACTAGAGTGTAGATGTGATCAAGATTTGAGTGGCTATTGGGTAGAAGCAGCTGACTTGTTCTGTGTTGCACCAAAGGGAAGAATTACAACTGCGAGACAGAAATGCATTTATACTGAAATGCTTCAATATAAGAAAGACTTTCCTAAAATTAGCCCTGTAAAGCAACGAGTTTGTATGAAGTGGCTGGGTTTCTTTTCACCACAAGTATTTAGGAAGTTGACAGGATTCCTGAATTAGGTGGGAACTAAGACTAGCCAGTGCCTAATTTCTCTACTGGCTCCAACCACTCAGACTCTGAGGTCACTGAGGACAGAGAACGTGTCTTACTCAATATTGTATTCTTAGCAACAGCTTGGTGGAAGTTCATGTAAAAATGATGGAGGATTTTTAGCACAGAAATTTTATGTATGAAAATAAACATTAAGAATTTCATTTATCATAATTCCATGTCCCCTCTCTCAAGTTAAAGTCAATTTCAATACATATTATTAAACCACATTTTTCTGTTGAAGATTTGTGTCCTTATTTCTTGATTCTGAATGTAAATTTATCTTAAAGTATGAGTTTTTTATTTAAAATTTATATTTATATACTCAAATACTTTATATTATTTATGAAATTACTGTGTTAAAAATTATAAAACTTTATAATCTGTATCCATTCATGCTTATTTTATTTTTCTCCTCTTCTTTTTGACAGAATTTTTAAAATCTGCAAACAGTTTGACTGTTAGGCATTTCCTATTTTTAGCCTGTGCTAACCTACTTATCTAATACTATAAAACAATGTATTTGTATTCCATTTTTTCATAGCCTAAATCTCCTTATTCAGTGGCCACACTTGATCAGCACATTTGTTGGTTTTCACATCACTGATTCAGCACTTTAGATGGCTGAGGTAGGAGCACCATCTAGTGGTGAAGCATCTAGCTGCTGACTCTACATTAATTGTTACTGTTTCTGTAACCACTGTCTTCTAGGTAAATAAAATTCATCATCATTTAAAATATCAAATAAAATTTTAAAATAAATCATAATTAGAATAACTGTTTACTACTAGTGAAATAAATGAAATTTGGCAATTTTTCACCAAGGGATCTTTAGTCAACTTGACATATAAGTTAAATCATAAGTCAGTTTCCTTTCCTCTTGGTATCTATTGAATTAAAACCTCTAATTCACAAGTATAGGTCACCAGGAATAGAAATGTTTGATGGCTCTGTCATATAGTTTTTGACAAATGAATTAAACACAGACACAGAAGTTACAAATAATTTTTACTATGTATGTGTACAGAAGAACAAACTCCAATGCTGGAAGCCTGGCTCTCACTTGGCAGGAGTGGTGAACAGATTTCTAATTCACTCTTTGGTTAACATGGCTCAGAAAAGTATTTCTTCATGGTCTTCTGTAGAGTTAGGACTTTAAAAAATATATCTAATAAAAATATATATATTTTTTTCTCTGAAGAGGAAAAGTTTTCAAGAGGGAAGAGTTGGTAAGCTCTTAGTGTGAGCAGTCTCCACTATACCTTAGTCATCTTGAGAAAATCAGTACCTTGTCCTCCGCAAGGAAAATCCTGGCATTTCAGCCTACAGTGGTGGATTCTGGCCAATCAAGATACTGAATATATCACTAAGATACACCATCGAAGCAAGCCACAGAAATATCTCTGCTGCCAGCACCAGTGTCATAAAGAAGTATTTTAAATCTCATCGCTAATTTTAAAAACTCAAGAGAGCACTTCTTTCCTCAAAAGTTGGCATATGTCGGTTTGGATAAACAAAACCTTTCATTCACTGGCAATTTTTGCACAGCATGCAAAACTGCACTCAAGGGCTATCATTTGCTGGTATTTCTAATTTTCATTTTCATTCACTATCAAAGGCTTATTTCTCAACTGCTAACTCTTTTTGGAAATAAACAAGACAGACTGACTATAGGTTCAGTCTCTTTTTTGAGTAATGATGTCTTTCTTTGCTGTACACATAGCTGGTGGTCTATCTTTCTAGTCTAAAAACAGCTAGCAAAATAATTAACTAAACAAATAGCCTTTTCCTATAACAGATTTTCAATGATACACAGAAAATAAAAATTGTCTAACTTTTTCCTTCGTCATATATGTACCACACACAAGCTAATATTTGAATCATACTCTGTGTCAGTGGTTTCTTCCAAACGCAAACTGAAATAACTGAGTAACACTAGCATGCAAACGTAATATATTAATTGTTCTTTCTGTACTGTATGCCATGAAGATTATATAACATTCAATAGAGTCACATAACTGATTCTGCTTTTTCTGAGATATCTGTCATTAATTCTGAGGCTGATCTTTATATGTTTCTTAGAAATAGTGTGATCTTAACTGTTTTTGCTGTGAGCAGGGTAGAGAATGATGTTGGCTTTTTAGTTTGGTCACTTTTACGTCTAACAACAAAATTAACTTCATACTAGAAGGCCTTATTTTACATTTGTTCTAGAAAAACTCAATGTACTCTGAAATAATGCAATGGTTTCAATGACTTCATGCCATTATCTGACCAAGTTTCATAACAGAAAAGGCACTGAGGAGAACAGATAACCAGTCTAATAAAATTCCATTTCCAGATAATCGTTTTTATACTTTTAATTTGCCCTTTTTGTGAGTTTATCACAATGGCAGTTATTCACTTATCTCAGTACATATTCACACGAAATGTTCCCAATTAGGTCTTGTTTACTATTCATGTATAGTAAATACATAAACATTTTTGTATTTTTGTTTTGAGTTGCCATATTATCATTTTATCACAAGTATTTTACACTTAAATGACTAGTTCTGAGTAATGGATTCACTTTTGTGCATTGGAGATAAAGCAGCATAATGCTAACAACAAAGTGAAATTTAACAAATGTAAAGTTATATACAAATGCCATGAAAATATTACAGCAGAGATAATTAACTGTACTCTATTAATTCACCAGTGTAGTTCATTTTGTTCAACTATTATTAACACGACACTATTTCTTAGAAAATGTGAATTATATGTGAACAAAATGGTTTTATGGCTTTTCACTCTAAAATCATAAAAATTCCTGGTGATGGCTGGGTGCGGTGGTTCATGCCTGTAATCCCAGCACTTTGGGAGGCTGTGGTGGGTGGATCACGAGGTCAGGAGATTGAGACCATCCTAGCTAACACAACCCTGTTTTTACTAAAAATACAAAAAATTAGCCGGCTGTGGTGCTGGTTGCCTGTAGTCCCAGCTTCTCAGGAGGCTGAGGCAGAAGAATGGCATGAACCCGGGAGGCGGAGCTTGCAGTGAGCCGAGATTGCGGCACTGCACTCCAGCCTGGGTGACAGAGTGAGACTCCATCTCAAAAACAAACAAAAACCAAAAAACTTCCTGGGGACTACTTGCTAGATGACCAAATACCATTGAATGTCCAAGTACTTCAAAAAATATCAAACTATGTGTTCATTAAGATCATGAAAGAAAAAAAAGAAATATCAAACTGGAAACCACAAAGAAAATTTATTTCCATTTCACTCTTTTGTTCTTTAATATCTCTAATACATGCCAACAGTTTGGACTAGTTTAATTCCAACTAGTTTGGACTAGTTTATTTCTAAGATCTTTTCTAACTCTTAAGAGTCTAAATTATGCTGTTAATATGCCCTGAGTTTTCAGAACAGTCACTATTTAGAACCCAATAATTCTTTTTGCGATTGCAGCCAGAGCTAGTGTAGAATTCTTTTTTTTGAGACAGAGTCTTGCTTTGAATCCCAGGCTGGAGTGCAGAGGCGAGAATCTCAGCTCACTGCAACTTCCACCTCCTGGGTTCAAGTGATACCCGTGCCTCAGCCTCGTGAGCAGCTGGAACTACAGGTGTGCACCACTACACATGGCTAATTTTTATATTTTTAGTAGAGACGGAGTTTCACCACGTTAGCCAAGCTGTTGTTGAATGTCTGGCCTCCAGTGATCCGCCTGCCTCGGGCTCCCAAAGTGCTGGGATTACAGGCATGAGCCACTGTGCCTGGCCTAGAATTCTTAAACAGGGATAATTTCATGTATTCACTCAGTACATATTGACTGTGTGTCTATTATATGCCAGATAGTATTCTAGGTACTGAGGATATAGACAAAGTTCCTGCTTGCGTGGAGCTTATATTATAGAGACGGAGATGGACAATAAACAAACAAAAAATTAAATATCAGATGATAGGAGCTAAGAAGAAAAATAAAGCAGGACAAAGGAATAGAGTGTCGGGGGAGGGGGCAGACGAAGAAAGGTTACAAAAACAGAGAGTGATCAGGGAGGGCCTCACTAAATAAGGGAACCGAGCAGACATCTGGATGAAGTGAGGGAGCGACAATGTGGAAATCTGTAGGAAGAACATTCCAAGCAAAGGAAAGAGGAAGAACAAAGTATGTGAGGCAGAAATAGGTTTGGTTTGCTCATGGTGGCTGAAGCAGAGTAAGCAAAGGAGTGGGAGGTAGGAGATAAGATGAGAGAATAGGGGTTGCCAGGATATGGGAGGATTGTGGAGAGTCTTGGCAAGGACTTGGCTTTTATTCTACGTAAGCTGGGAAACTACTGCAGGGTTTGAGCAGAGGAGTGACATGATCTGGCTGACTTTTTAAAAGGACAATTGTTTGCTTTGTGGAGGCTAGACTACAGGGCAATCAGGGTGGTAACAGGGAGACCAATTAAAAATAAACCAAGTTTGAAATGAGAGCGACAGGCCAGGTTAATTGTGGTAGAGGTAATTTAGTAGAGTGTCACAGTTAACAGGAAAAAAAAAAAAAACCTCTCAGATTGTCTTAGATAACAGTGACACCTTCTGGCTCAAATAAAATCTTACAGAGCTTTATACTGACATGAGAGCCAATGCAAAAGCATTGAATGAAAAATAAAGTTCCTATAGGAGGAAAAGAAAACAGTAGTATTTTGTAACTTGGCAGGACTTAACATATCTTTGGCTAACAAACTGTACCCTAAGTATAGGAGGGTAGTCCTCAGAGGAGACTACCCTGTTTAGCTGAGGAATCTGAGCTACAGGCCAGGGCCATCTCACTTGAGAATGTGTCAGTGAACGGCCCTGGGGCTGGTCTGTGGAATGTCCCCAAAGATAATGTGGAAGCTAGGGCGGAGTGCATGAAATGGCTACTCCATGCCCTGTGGACCTGTGTGCGCTCACTCATAATTCCTGACCTATCTGGGACTAACCAAATGAGGCTGTGCCTGAGAAACAGGGAGTGTGCGAGCTCCTCACAAAATGAGATTGTGATCATGTTGTTTTAAATTCTTACATCGTTTGTTTTCTGATTACACACAACCTATTTTCTCATTATCCATTTCCAGTTCTAAGTTTGAGGTACTAGAGATCAATCTTTTTCTGGAACAGGGATAGGCTGTTGAAAATTCTTTTCAGTCTTATTTGGAAATGCTAAAGATCAAATGAATATCATATTCATAACACAGAAAAAGATATGCCTCATAAGACCAGAGAGAAGGAATATATTACTTTAATTTTGTAAGTATTGGGCACAAACAAGAAGGAAAATAGATAAAAACGAAATTATGAATTCACTTTTATTTTACCTTCCTTCTCACTTAAAATAATCATTATAACCCATGTTACCTTTTGCACAGATACTTGAAATTCTGGATAGCAAATGGTAATAAAAAGGTGACTTATGGAGTTATATTAAGAAAAAAGATGACTCAGCCTACCGTGGTGATGTAGCGGGAGTGGAATTCTGGAGCATCTTTCAGGAACGTGAGACCAGGGTGGGTATCCACCACATCCTGAAAAAGATCAAAACCAAAACTAAATTAACAAACATACAAAGATTATGCCCATAGAAGTTTTTCCTTCCCGTATAATATGTTGCCAGTTGAGCAAACTTGCTATTTTAGAATAATGAATAATGCACTTAAAATTTAATTCTTTATTAAATTCAAGTTTCATTATAAGCATACTTACGCGTGCTTTTCTGTATACACAGTATACTTCAAAAAAAGTTAAAGTTTGATTTTAGCTATGTTAGGTAATTTGTGAATCAAATGTCTCCAAGGTATGTACTGTAATTCTAACACATCAACAGCACATCAAGGCAATTCATCTGATGCCACAGATTATTGTAGAGGTATTATGTAAAGTGTATTTACACAGAAAGGATGTGGTGGACAGTAGATGCAAGCCAATGAAAATGATCCTCTTTCATAATCTAAAAACATGGGAAATTCTTTTTGGAAAAAAAAAGCAGCCATGTAGTCAAGTAGTTTGAATGTGTCTTTGTTAAGCTGTGCAAGCCAGTTAATGCCCATCAGATTTTATCATAATTGTGTGGATAAATCACTTCTCAAATTAGAATTTTATTTATTTTTAAATCTTTAATCTTGTTCTCATTGAAGACTATTAGAATATTAAAACCTTAAAATACTGTTTTTATTTCCTAATTAGATTTTTAAAGCATTTGGAATGAGCCCAGAGGATCTAATAGAGATAATCACAATATTAATTAACCAGAGGAAACAGCTATGCCATTACAGATATAATCTATTAATTGGCTTGTCATCAACAGACATCAAGTATATCTGTTTCTTCAGAGCAGTTAGCTATAATACTTACCAATATATAGTCTCAAACAAATTGACTTATTTCTTTAACTTTTTAAAGACTTATTATTATACATATTACATAATTTTCATTTTTTGAGACAGTCTCGCTCTGCCTCCCAGGCTGGAATACTGTGCTACAACCTTGGCTTATGACAACCTCTGCCTCTCCGAGTTCAAGTGAGTCTCAGGCCTTAGCCTCCTGAGTAGCTGGGACTACAGGTATGTAGTACCACACCAGGTTAATTTTTGTATTTTTAGTAGAGACAGCGTTTCACCATGTTGGCCAGGCTGGTCTTGAACTACTGGCCTCAAGCGATCCACCTGCCTCAGCCTCCTGAAATGCTGGGATTACAGCCATGAGCCACCACACCTGGCTAACTTTTTATTTGGAAATAATCCTACACTTACAAAAATTATTATAGAAAAATTTCCTGTGCTCCTCTCCCAGTTTCCCTTAATGGTAACAAGTCACAGACAATAGTATAATGATCAAAACCAGAAAATGAACATGGGTAAGACATTAAACTAATCAAATCTCACTAGTTTTTCCCTTAATGTCTTTTTCTTTTCCAGGATCTTACACTGCATTTAGCTTTTGTGTCTCACTGGTCTCTTCCAATCTGTGAAAGTTCGTCAGTCTTTCCTTATGCTTTTGATGCTTTTAATGAGTTCTGGTCAGTTATTCTGTAGAATGTCTCTCCCTTTGGTTTTGTCTGATGTCTGGTCAAGATTAAGTTTACACATTTTTGGCAGGAGAACCACAGAAGTGATGCGTCCTTTTCAGTGCATCATTGGGCATACATAATACAGAGGGTATGTGATGTTGGTATGTCTTCATTTGGTGATGTTAACTTTGATCACACTTAGTTCAAGTGTGTCTGCTGCGTTCTCCACTGTAAAACTGCTATTTTCCCTTAATAATTGATAAATATCATGGGGGCAGATACTTTTGAGAGTGTCAATATCCTATTTCTCCCCAGAATTTCTCTCATTCATTTTAGTATCTATTGTTAGATTATGCCTGCAACATTTACACTGTAGTGTTTACTTAATAGTGATTTTGTCTATATTCTGTCTACATTTCTTAATTGGAAATCTTCTACAAGGAAGAACTGTCTCTTCTCTCCTATTTTTTTGAGACAGAGTCTTCCTCTGTCATCCAAGCTGGAGGGCAGCAGTGGTGCGATCTCAGTTCACTACAACCTCCACCTCCTGGGTTCATTCAATTCTCCTGCCTCAGCCTCCTGAGTAGCTGGGATTACAGGCGTGTGCCACCATGCCCGGCCTATTCATTTTTCTGAACAGCACAGACTCACTGGTATTTATTTCATTCTGTCGGTTATAATCCTATACTATCATCATTTTGTTGCTCAAATTGATCTAGCTTTGGCCACTAGGAGTTCCTTCAGGCTGGCTCCTGTGTTCTCTTTTTATTTTTATAAATGAGACAGGGTCTCACTCTGTCACCTAGACTGGAGTGTAGTGGCTCGATCTTGGCTCACTGCAACCTCTGCCTTCCAGGTTTAAGTGATCCTCCTTCCTCAGCCCCGAGCAGCTCGAATTACAGGCATGTGCCACCATGATGAATTTTTGTTTTTTAGTAGAGACAGGGTTTCACCATGTTGCCCAGGCTGGTCGCAAGCGATCTGCCTGCCTTGGCCTCCCAAAATGCTGGGATCACAGGCATGAGCCACTGCACCCGGCCACCTGTGTTCTCTTGATATGCCCCTGTGTTTTTATGGGGACTTTCATATTTTCTGGCATAAGATGACCCATGTTTATCTTGTATTTTCCTTGCCGTAGCTCTGGTATACCAACCTTTTGCCTAAGAAGCCCTGGTTCCTTTCACTGGAGAATGGTATTTGAAACCAAATCTGAGTGTGAAAGGTGTCCATTACTACTAGAATAGTATTTCATTGTGTACATCACTACATTTTCTTTATGCCTTCGTTCGCTAATACTTAGGTTGATACCATATATTGTTCAGCTTTGGTTAGTTTCCTCATCTATTTGCTGATCAGTACTCTGCTGAATACTCATGGAGGAACTTCTGAAGATCTCTGAGGATTGTTCTCCATGCAGTTCTCTCTTCTTTGGTACTCTGTCCTGAGAATTCTAGTCATCTTGGTTCTCTTAGACCCTCAGGCTCTGGATCCTAAATTCAAGGAGTCCACTTAACTCAGCCTAGGTTTCCCATTCTTGCACTATGACTTGAAAACTCTCTCAAGGTGGTACACTCTCTCAATCATAAGACTCACTTTGTTTCTGTCTCTCAGGAATGAATCACTCGTTTGTCGCCTGATGTGCAGCATCTTGAAAAACCATTGTTTTATATTTCCTGTCTGTTATTTTCTGTTGTTTCAAGTGGGAAGGTACATCCAGTCCCTGTTACTCCTTCTTGGTCAGAAGTGGCAAATCTATTGATTTTTCTATGTTAATTTTATTTCCTCCTACTTTACTATTTTACTTAGTTTTATTACTAATTTTTTCTGAATTTTCAAACTTTACTGTCATCTGCAACAAGATACTTTTACTTCTTTAACCAATCTTATGCTTCTAACTGTTTTCTCTTATACAATTACTACAGTAAAATGCTGAATAGTAGTGGAGACAGTGGGCATCCTTGCCGTGTTCCTGATCTTTGTTGAAGTGCCTCTAGTGTTTTCCCATTAAATAAAATATTGGCTTTAACACTAAGGTATAGATATTTCATCATGTTAAGAAAGTATCTAAAATATGGAGAATTTTTTTTCCTTAGATATAACATATGACATTAATAAACGATATGGTTTGGATCTATTTCCCTGCCAAATCTTATGTTGAATTGTAATCCCCAGTGTTGCAAATGGGGGCCTGGTGGGAGATGACTCGATCATAGGGTGGATTTCTCTTGAATGATCTAGCATCGTCCTCTTGGTGCAGTCTTTGAGATAGTGAGTTCTCGTGAGATCTGGTTGTTTAAAAGTGTGCAGCAACTCCCCCACACCTTGCTCCTGCTCTTGCCAAGTGAGATTCTGGCTTCCCTCTTGTCCTTCTGCCATGACTGAAAACTCCCTGAGGCTTCACCGTAGGCTGAGCAGATGCCAGCACCATACTTCCTGTAAAGCCTGCAGAACTGTGAGCCAATTAAACCTCTTCTCTTTATACATTACCTAGTCTCTGTTATTTCTTTATAGCAATGCAAGAACAGCTTAACACAATAAATATCCTAATATTAAAACAATCTTGCCTTCCTGGAATAAATCCCGCTTGGTCATGGTATATTGTTTGGTAATATTTTATTACCTTCTATCGTTAATCTTGAAGCTATATTTGTTTGCAGTTTTATTCTCTGGATTGTCTTTTCCTGATTTAGGTATCAGTGTTATACCTGCTTCATAAAAGGTGTTTGAAATTTTCCTTCCTTTTCAATACTCTGAAATAATTTATGGAGCATTTGAACTATCCAGTTGCTGAAGGTTTGGTAGAATTCCCCTGTAAAACGACCTGGGCCTTGTGCTTTTTTGTGCAGTTTTGTAATAAACATCTGTATTCATTCTATAAGTCTGTTTACCTTTCTAAATCAAATGGAGTCAATTTGGGTCATACGTATTTTCCTAGAAAACTGTCCATTTCATCTAGGTTTTCAAATTTATCTCCCTAGACGTCTGCAAAGTAGCCTTTTCTGATTTTAAAAAACTTTCTTCTGGCTGGGTGCAGTGATTCACCTGTAAGTCCAACACTTACAAGGGCAAGGTGGGAGGGTCACTTGAGCCCAGGAGTTCAAGACCAGCCTGGGCAACATATCGAGACCTTGTCTCTATAAAAAATTAAAAAATTAGCTGGGTGTGGTGGTGCACATCTGTCATCCCAACTATGCGGGAGGCTAAGGTGGGAGAATTGCTTGAGCCCACATAGTTGAGGCTGCACTGAGCTGTGACGGTGCCACTGCACTCCAGTCTGGGCAACAGAGCGAGATCCTCCTTGTTATTTCTTATTTTGTATATTAGTGTATTCTCCCTTTTTTCTTAATCAAATTATTTTTTATTAATATTTTCCCATAACCACAATTTCAATTTGTTAAAAGTGCTATTGGTTTTTTATTCTCTGCTTTCTTAATTTCTGATCATTACTGGGACTAGCTGAGGGGTACATAAGGCTCTGCTATATCAGTATGTATGCATTTCAAAATTCCCCATATTAAA